GTGTGTGTGTGTGTGTGTGTGTGTGTGTGTGTGTGTGTGTGTGTGTGTGTGTGTGTGTGTGTGTGTGTGTGTGTGTTGTAATTGGATTTGGATAAAGCACAAAGGGAAATAACTGTGTTTGCGAAAATATTTTAATGACTGGATTTACACAGATGCGACGGTTGCATAAACACATCGTGACATTCTACTGCAAATCTGTTACTACCCCGAAACCATCACAAACTACCCCTTGTAGTCTTTACTAAGAGTTATCCTATCCACACTTATATCATCATTCATAACGTTAGGGAGTCTGATAAATAGTTGAATACAGTCTTGCAAATCTAGCATGCAAACACACGGACACCGTCAGAAATGAACATGAAATTGACATACCCTTCTTCGCGCAGTGCCCCTTAAGGTATAACGATGGTTATGTAGGACAAAAGGAATTCACGAGCAACACGCAATGAGAAGGGAGATAGCTGCACACAGACACTTCAATTGTTCATTGTTCACTAACTCCTTTGTGTATGTTCAAAGTCAACGGTTTCCTCTGTCGCTTTATCTAAGCGCATCGACATTTTTGCTCATTTGGGTATGAAAGTGTGCAATTTCCTTCTAATGTCTCCTGAAACAAAACCTGTTTGTTGTCTGGGTCTAACAATTGCTGATATCAATTGGCAAGTATATGACCGCGCATTGTTCCAGGTCGTGCTGTTGAAGACATTGACCCACATAAAACCCTTTTAAAGAAGCATGTACTTAACATACTGTGTGTTGGTATGTCGTTAAGTTTTAGGATGTCCTCGTATAGATTTCACACATGAACTTCAAAGTGTTAAATACATTATACATACGCTCACAACAATAGAACATTTTGTCTGAAACTTGGGTAAGAGAGCATCGAGTGCAAGTCAGTGGTTGAAGGGTGAGATCTGTGTCGATTGACGCTAAAACTCCCCTGAGCAGCTAACTGTTTTATTGGCAGTAGAGTGTCAGTTTGTCACCCATATCTGTATAATTCAAATAATTTCGTTTCATCTTCCAGATGTCATTCCGGCCAGTACACAGAATAACGTTTACGAGTGAGTGAAATTGACATAACACGGTATTGAACAGTTGTGTGTTCATGACAGGGCGTGTCAGTTTGGCGTCAGGGGGAAGGACGAGGTGATGCAGGCCACCCACAAGGAGGACACAGTACTGATATCCCCCAAAACAAAACAAGGATAACTATAACATTATAGAAATGGGAAAACGGGGATTCGAACCAGAGATCATCAGTTTCTGGCATGCTAAGGGACACGAGAATTGCGGCGCCTTAGGGAGTTGGGCCATCCGTGTCCCGTATGTAACGGTTGTAATAATCCTGATTAGACAGTGCCGGACTCTAGGTCCGTGTCCAGCTCCATGTTAACACAAAACCCTCGGTGAAACTGCGATTGTTTCTATGTTAGGCTGTATATGGTGTTTCGCAATGTCCAAACAATGTAATAAAGAGTCCATAGGGATAGGTTCGATACATCGCGGGGAATCGAACCAGGGTCCTGTTCAAACTCTTCAGCCACTACACTCAAATCCGTCTGCTCTATCTGAGTAAATGGGCGAGCATATTTGAGTTAAATTTAGAACCCTGGTGATGTAAAGGTAATTTAGTGTAACTGTATTTCATGTCGCCTAAACTTGAAGACATACTTTCAGAAGTTTCATGGATGGTCGGATTCCTTCCATAAGTGTTTACAGAATCCGTAGATCGTTGGTTCGATTTAAAGAAGAAGATCTCAAACCCTTTTATTAGCCCTAGGCTGTCAGTGCGATATCCGTGCCCGTTTTCACCCCTTGTGTAAGATGCGTCACCGTGGACTTTGCACAATACGTTGATAGATAGCGGTAAATGAGGCGTTAAATCCACCTCACTAACTCTCGCAAACGCGATCAATGTAATACCTTGAAGCATACATTCTACCCTTACGTATGGTACACTGTCATCAAGTACATACTTTATAGACCAACTGTAAACAAATCCTATTTCCACGACCCGTCGTCATCTGTTTTTGCAATGTACCTAAATATATGACTGTTACACTTTTCAATACAGATGCTAAGTTGCCAGGTGAACGTCGGCGGAAATGTGATGGGGCGGAACCGGAAGTTCTGCCTCGTTTGAAACAAAGTAGTTCGGTTGCCTGCAGGTATGTGTACCCGAGTTATGACGGTGATGGCCTACCTTCTCACAGGGATTGGCCTGGTGTATCTTATCAAAGTATCTAATGGGGATTTCACTACTTTAGGAAAGGCCCCATTCACGATACGTTACGCGGCGCAGTGATACACATGAACGTCCATGTCAGTTGGTGCGTGAACAGCTGACGGAGGAAAGTACACCAAGCCTTTACAACGTCTTATGAGTGCAGCTCTAACCTGCCACTTTGCTTACGCGAAGTGCATGGAATTCTAATCATGGTAAACACACTGTTTTGACGTGATGTAATAGGATTTAAACTAGACGCGGCCTGCTTGGGGTTCCCGATTCATGAAGTACCGCTTGCTATAGAGTACCTATAAGGAATGGAAGCAGGGTTACGGCTCTCTCTCCTACTGGCGGAAAAGCCAGTTGTACCTGAGAATATTATCTCTCTCTGCCTTTCTTGGTTCCGGTTCTGTGGTTGCCATCGTTCCATCACTTTTCATATATGTTCACGATATGGCTGAAATATTGCCGATGTGACGTTAAATATTAACTCACTCACTCACTCATATATGTTCAATACATATGGAGATACATATGGTCATGGTAGTAAAGTTGTGCTGTCTCAAAAGTTCGGTCACAACACGATACAACATGTGGCCGGGCGATTTCCTGGCGAATTGTGATATTACGACACTACATTTGTACCCCCAAAACAACGACGTTGTGTAAATCAAGCGTCGGTAAACGTTTTCGCAGTTCCATGCTCAACTGATCAGAAGAAACCTGAACTCATCTATCTGTGAATAGTATACTGTCCCAACCTTGCCTTCTGAACCTCACATTCAGTCGACGCCACGCCAGGCGTGCCATCATGGAATAGGCTTAATCGTAGACTTGGGCCGATCTGGTGCTTCCTCAACCGGTTGCACAGGGTTCTTTTACTATCAGTTTGAACCAAGCATTGTCACACCTGATAATGTGGCAGCTTCCAGGCGTCGGTTCCGTACATGCATCAACCGAATATAGTTGTCTTGTTGAGACGACGTGACATGTAGACCACGGGTCCGCGGCATGCTACGAGGGTTGCCCCACGGGCAAAGTCTCAAACAGGATGATATTGTGTTTCGATTAATATGGAAGTGTCTAGCAACTTAATTTTGCGCTGTTCCTGTTTGGCGTAAGCGTTATTTACGGTTATGTATGTGTTAACATCCGTGATTGCGTAATAACAAAACCTGCCTTTTATTGAAATATACTTTTTATTTCAAAACGAGCAAAAATGCAAAAATTCCCATATCCTCAATTAATATATGTACAAAATATAAACAGAACACGCGTTAGAAAGATGAATCTTTGGTGCATCAGTGCCAACATACCTGGCAACTCTAAACAATGAGCATCGTCACAAAACAAAACGTTCCCCTGATAAAGATAGGGATATACGGAATGATCTGTCCAACATTTTAGATCATAACACAAACAAGTCCGTATTGGAATAAATGCAATCAAAATATTAACAAGTGTCAGTCAGAGGTATTCATAGAAAATATGTGCAAATGAGTAAATTAACGTTTATTCAAGGTTTGCTAATGGAAATTTACCATAGTGAATAAAAGAGGTAGATATACATGTATATACCCCGGGTGGTCTGGACGTAGAATGCCCGGTAATATTTGGTGTGGAGGCGGTATGTATCCAATCAAACAGACACATTAGGCTGAAGGGCTGTCAACAGGGATATATTTCACATTAACAGTAATAATATTTATGTTTGTTTTTCGCGTTACAAATTATTTTGCCATTTGGTATATCAACACTTGGAAGGTATTAGCTAAGCAGTACAGGAGGGATGCCGACAGGTGACATAAATTGCCGGTCTAAAGAAAATATGCTTTTCAAAATTGGATTTGACTAAAAAGTTACAAACGTCATCAAAACTTTAAAAGGCTGACAACAGTCGCAGAAACACTCCAAGCACATGGTGCCAAACACCATCATGGAACCTGTATCAGTACATGGAATAACCATTTCTTGTTTGTTCAAGTTGAGCCGCCACCAGACAAGGGTTTATACGCTTCCTGGCAGTTACATACCTAAAGACCACAGTTATCCCCCTTGAATTTTACCGGAAGGAAAATTGGAGGATAAGTGTCCTGTTTAAATGGGCTGATCTGTCTGAGCTATTTTTTTTCAGGGTGACTTGTGATAGTTTAAATGAACGATCAGGCATTGTGCGTAATTGAGAAGTTTTTTTGTCCACAATCTGCGCATGTATTAACCCCAGCCTTCCATTATTTGACCCCAAGTTCAAGGCTGTCTAGTGTGATTCGTCTCGATACTTCCGGTGGCCATTGTTGACAGTGGATACAGCAAAATTGACATGGTCGATCCAGGCCGATATTTTGCCGGTTAAGTGACAAGTGCTAGGTTGGTCAGCATGCAACTGGAGAACAGCCAACGACCGATATAAATTATGGTATGGTGGTCTGAGGCTATACTGAGTGATCTCCTTTGGTCACTACAGTGTATATGGGGTAAAGAAGGAAAATAATTGAAGACTTATGCTATATATAAATGGTGAGTGTGATATAGATTTACGCCGCATTTAGCAATATTCCAATGTATCTGGCATGGGGTAACAGAAAGACTTCAAACATTGTACCCATGGGGAAGGTAATAAATGAACTGGAGTATAATGTACGTGAGAAAATAAAAAAAAAAAATGCAAAACCATGGAATGTATAACAAAATGCATAACTTCTAAGATCCTTCAGTCACCAAAAGTATATATGTAATTTGAAATAGTTAAAACAGAAACAGATATATCTTTGCATAGAGAGGAACGAACGGTATTGAACCGTACCGTATATCCAATGTCTCAATCTCAGCCATGACGTTATGGCGTTGTTAGAGACACATAAAATATGTGCGATATTTCATGCATGACTATATTGAGCGCGTAAAGGAAAGACTTGACGGAAAGGTTTCATCTTCTGGCTCCGGACTGTTGTCTTCATCAAAACAGACCAAACCTCTTTTTCATCTCCAACTGTCTCCATTTCGGTTTGGAGAGATAGTCTTGCTTGGTAATCTTGAAAATCTTCTTGAATTCTTCATCTGACAAGTATTTCTGTTGAGAGAAGAACAGTTTTGTAATATAAAGTCAATATGTGTTTCTGCTACATCACTACACAACTTGTCATGTTCGCGGTATATATGTATATGTACTACACAAAAAAAATGAAATCCTCCCGATTCTTTAAACCTGTCATGACATCACGGGGAGGTGGGGTAGCCGAGTGGTTAAAGCGTTCGCTCGTCACGCCGAAGATCCGGGTTCGATTCCCCACATGGGTACAATGAGTGAAGCCCATTTCTGGTGTCCCCAGTCGTGATATTGCTGGAATATTGCTAAAAGCGGCGTAAAACTCACTCATTCATGACATCACATGTTACCTATGAATTGTCATGACAGGCCAGATTACTAATACTACATGTAAGAAGCGTCTGTTCCTTAACTTCTCTTGTGTAGTATATGTCATGATGACGTGGATCGTTTCTCTTGCTGTAAACCAGTGTTCTGCCTTGCTCAGATTCTAGTATTTACAGAGCACCGTGATATTGCTGTAATGCTGTTGTCTGTTTAAAGCTTAAAGCAAGATGCACTAATTCGTTCAGTCTTGTATTTGCATATATTCACACTGAATAATATTTTGAGGCACTTTCACAAATGATGGATCTTAACTAAAACTGCCCGTGTGGTTTAGTGGAGAGTGTCCGGGGAGCGGAAGCTTGGTACTTGGAATACCGACTCGTCATACTAAAATATAAACATTCATGCTATTTGTTGTTACCCGCTTTGTCATCAAGGGGGATAAAACAAGGACTGGAAGGACTTGAAGTCAGTATACTGTGTGTATGACCTTGTTAAAGAGGTTCTTGCGTTATATTTCAGTGTGCAAGCACGGTATTAATCCAGACTAGTACTAAAGAGCAACACACACAAGCCTACACACGCACGCGCGCGCACACATATACATACATGCATACACAGACGCACTCATGTTGTATACGACTAACAATTGTGAACACGACGTTCTCCTCGCCTTCTGACAGCTACAAGATCCTGGAACACACTACAATGGATGCTTCACATTACATATTTAATGTGACAACTGGACACGAAAGTTCTAACACTGCAGCAATATTGGCAATTCCAGTTCCATGCAGTCAGGACCAGAGCAGCCCGGAGTCAGTCAGACCTGCCTGTCAATCATGCACTAATGTCCACCAGTGGAAGTGGCTGGCAGCCCGTAGTAGCACTGGCTATGTGTTGTACAAACTCAACAATGTAACAGAGTCTGAATTTCTAAATGTCATTGGCCTTTGTTGACATGACATTCATTTTCGTAGTTTTCTAGACCATGTTCCACTGTATAAACATTTTGTGTGTCCTGGTTGAAGCAGAACGACGTCCCCCACGGCGGGATTCAACGTTCTCAAATTTACCCCAAATGTCCACAGGACGAGATAAGGGCCATTTTATGGCCGACGGAAAATGTCGAATTTTAAAGTTGCATGACGCTGGGAAATTATACATGGTTAATGACTGACGTTACCTCTGAACCCACTCACACGGTAACTGACAACGGGTTTTACCCCCTAGTTTCACTTCTAAGTGCCGGAGTTCAGACCTGATCAAATATATATATATTTAGTAATGGCCTACTTTGTCACATGATCCTACACATAAGTATATTTCGAGTTTTCAGAGAAAATATAAGAGGACGTTCGTGACCACACATGAACGTTTCTCCGTACATATATGTTCTCTACATCACCTAAGAAAATCAGATTGAGTGAATACTTGCACAGGTTCAAATATTGGACAAACGCTTCCTGGAAACCGTTAAACCGGTTTTTAGCCTATTTTAGTCTTACTCATTTCAAAATGACTTGTCAAGGTTTTGTCCATCCTCGAATTTTGTATATCTCCTTGTCAATGAAGGGCCCTCATCCTGGCTATTCCATCCTTTAAATGTCTAATTTCGTCGTAAGGACTTTATTTAGGCTGTGTTCGATACTGAGAAACACGTTGTCAAATGTGGTACTTCTTTCATGCTTTGAGAAGAAAGCGAATTCCATTTTGGCTCAATCTCTTCAATAGATTCGCCAAACAAATCGTAAAATCAGTGCATCGTGACACTTTGACGTTAGAGAGCAATTGAGTGAGTGAGTATGGTTTTCGCCGCTTTTAGCAATATTCCACGGCGGGGACACCAGAAATGGGCTTTACATATTGTGGGGAATCGAACCCTACGGCGCGAAGAGAAAACTCCTCAACCATTGCCCCTGAAGTTAGAAAAGAAAATATGGTCTGCATGACAGTAACAGATATTCCTCCTCAATACATCAGGTTTCTGAGCATCCACCACAAAACCATCTATTAACGGTAAATGCTTATGTGTTGCGTTTCTAAATTATTTGAGTATATTTCAGAATGTTAAGTCTGCCTATGAAAACCGTGTTTATGATAGCAAAAACTTTCTATAAACAACTCTTTCCTCTGACGATAATTACCAGGAAACAATAATACTACAAACGTCTTGTATCAAAGGGCAACAGCAGCAGTGACGGAGTATTACGCAGGACATTTACTCCGCTGGTACAACTACGCCAACGACTAGACTGTCTCCCAGTCACTGAAACATATCATTGTCCCTTCGCGCGCCCAACCCTGTCTTTAATGCCAAAGCCTTGATATAAACCAGCCTGGTTCCCTGGGTCTGTTGCGCCTGCGCTACGTTCCGAGCGTAGCGCAGGCGCAACAGACCCAGGGAACCAGACTGTGATATAAACAAGTTGAGCTTTTCCTCATGTTCTGAATCTCTCATCTCAATGGGGTTCTTTTGAATAAATGGATACGTGTACTTTCTATAGACATTTGCAGAGACTAAGAGTTGGTGTACATAAAGACCTACCTGGTTACAAGGTGCAGAAGCGTTGATTACATTCAACCTAGCAGCAACACTCACGCACTCATTCACTCACCCACTCACTGCACGGGACGACCATACCATCTGATTTCGATCGTACGTTAATTTTACTCCAGCATAACTTTCTGTTTGATTTGATTTGACCTTGTCATGTCCTACAAGAGGTTCCCCTGGAAACTAGGTATCTGAACATTAGCATACCGGAGAAAACAGTATTTGATTCTGCAGTAGCTCCATATATTTTGTCAATCTACTAGACAAATAAACAGGACAATAGCTTCATAAACATATCTTTGGTAATGAATGCTGTATTTGAGGGAAACCAGGACGAGAGAGAGAGAGAGAGAGAGAGAGAGAGAGAGAGAGAGAGAGAGAGAGAGAGAGAGAGAGAGAGAGAGAGAGAGAGAGAGAGAGAGAGAGAGAGAGAGAGAGAGAGAGAGAGAGAGAGAGAGAGAGAGAGAGAGAGAGAGAGAGAGAGAGAGAGAGAGAGAGAGCGTGTGTGTGTGAGTGTGTTTGTTTGTTTGTGTGTTTTTGTGTGTGGGTCCGACTGTCTGTGTATGTGTGTGTGTATGTGGTGGTGGTGGGGTGGGGTTTGGGTGGGGTTTGATGTTTGGGTGGGGTTTGATGGATGGTGACCGTTTGTTTCCTTGACAAAACATGTTTATAGAGGTGAGTCTGGGAAGGGGTTCAAATCAGAGACACTAGAAACGTCGAGGGACGCTTCGCACTTCCCCACTCACAGTTTACAACGGGTGAACCCCGACTCCATAGCTACCTCCATACGTTTGGAATGCGTCAGTGTGGAAATGGTGAACATGGTTAATTATGCCTTTATCTCAGACACAGTATTGATAAAAGGTTGTTGAAGGTACCTGCCACTATAATACTTTGTGTCACTGTTAGATGAACTAGTAAAAAAGAAAACCAATCAATTATTACATTACTGGGAGCTAATGACCTTAGGCTGTGGACATCTGACAGTGATTTACAAGAGAATCGTCCCCCCTAAATAACAGAACTAATTTACCGTTAGATTTATTGCTAAAGACCACTGAAATCATAGGTTGATCACCGCCAAATACAACTATACAAATACAACTACTCAGCGTTACTGCCCCAGGGTTGTTCCCTCACTACGTTCACGTATACATGTAGAATGTGTGTGTCTGTGTGTGCGTGCGTGCGTGTGTGCGCGTAGAACGATCATAAGTACCAGCCATCCCTTCACTGGATACCGACACAACTCTTTACAGCGAATATCGTCATGACCCCCCACCCCCCGGGACACGTGGATGAGGTGAGGGAGCAATGGATCCTAACATCGTGTTCAAGATTTTAGCACTTACGTATTGAACTAGTTCGTGCGCATGTGCGTGTGCGTCTTGGTGTGTGAGCAGTGCACGGGGGACAGAGCTGTGTGTTTGGTCGGGTAATGTGTTTGTGTGTGAGAGAGACAAGAGTGGGAGAGAGAGTTATCTCAGGAATGGGCGAGCGCAGAATAGTGTTCGTGCGTGAGTGCGTGCGTGCGTGCGTGCGTGCGTGCGTGTGTGTCTGCGTGTTTCATACCAATAGGAACTCTAGGAGTCCAGTATTCTTTTGACCCTGAGGCTAAATATCAAAATTTATATGACACATATGCATCCTGTAAAACAGTTCATATATTTCTGTGCGTCACTACGTATATACGGTCTTTATTTCTCGACACGTGTTTCCCTTTAGCGTTTTGATTATGAAATCAATCATTTGTTCCAGGACAAAAACGCTCACTGCATCTGTTAACAGGAAATTGTCTGGATCAGCGTCAATGGAAGAGGCCAAGAATTTCTGGAGAGATTTCAAGAAGCTGAATCTGATTAGAAGATAGGTTGGGCAGCAGTCAGGGATGATGAAATATGTCTCCCAGCTAATTGTAGCCAAGTAGCTGCATCTTGCAGGTTGCAGTCTGGTTACTGAATGTATTCACCATTAAGCATGACCCATATTATACACAGACAACTGATGAAGACGGTGAACCCACAGTAATGAATACTCATCGTAGGTTAATGAAGTTAGCACATGATAGAATAGTATAGCCGTGATTATATAATCCAAAACATTTAAATTACAAACTGACTGCATAGCGTAGTATGAACAT